AAAAAAAAAGTCCTCCTGTGTGAGAATTTGTAAGAGGGTCTTCTCTGAATCTTAATAATAGATGACCAGCAAAGGGCATGAATCAGGATACCACAGGTCCTCTAGGAAAAAATACCTTAAGGTAGAAAACCAGGAGCAAGACAGGGGAAGAAAAGAGGAAAGAAGGGGAGAAGGGAAAGGGGGGATGGGACAGGAAGTTGATGACCTTTTTCCTCTACTCACCTTTAAGTTTTGGTGTGTCCTGAGTTCCACCCTTGGGATTCTCCACAAATTATACAACTTGCTAACCTCAGCAAAAGCTCATCACACCAATGGTTTGTTGATGACTCTCAATTCTATATCTTCAGCTTAGCCTTGTCCTCCAAACAAGACACTATCCCAGATTTCACTGTGATGTTTCAAAAGTACCACGAACTCATCATGTTCAAAATTGAGGTTATGTTTTACCCCAACTGCTTCCTCTTTCATACTCCAAATACTCGTGAATAGTTATGTCACCCAAGATTGAACGCTGGGAGTTTGCAGGGACTTCATGTTCTCTCTTCCTCCCACATTAGTTGCTAACCAAATCCTTTCCTCCCTATCCCCACTGCAAATAGTTTAGTTCTCACCTGCATTTCTCCTGAATTCTCCTAACTCATCTCCTTACCTTCAGTTTTGCTCTCTTCCTCATATCTTCCTCTGTACTAACATAATATCTCTAAGGCTCTCAACCATCTGTACCATGCTTCAGACTAGCATGAACTTAACAATTCAGTTTTCCTAGCAAGACATACAAGGCCTTGTGTAGTCCAGTCCCTGCCTTCTCTCCAGCCGTGTCTCTCAACCCACCTCCCTTCCACATCTGCACCAACCGTATTGAACATCTTGTGGTTCTTCAGATGTTCCCAGCTGCTTTCCAACCTGCCTGCAATCCCATGCTCTCTCTCCCGGGAAGTTCACCCTTCCCCTTCCTGATTGACAGTTAGCTGTCTCCAAAAATTTATCTCAAGTAGCACTTCATCCACAGTCTTTCTAGAAAAACCTCTAATCTATGTGGAATCGATCCCTTTCCCCTTTCTGCCTGTGCCAGGTCTAATACATATTTCCTAAAACTATGCCTGTGATACTTCACTACACTAGTTAACTCATTGGTCTTTTCTATTAAACCTGTGGTTCTTCAATACATGGCAATGCTTTTTGTTAAACGGTGATGAAATCTATGCACCTCTTCCCAGAAACATTATATGAGCACAATATTTGAATAAAATTCCAACAGCTTCATAGACTCCCTTGGAAACCATCCACGGCTTCCAGCAGGAGCATTATGGCTTAAGAACACTTGTTTAGACAATCATTTTCTTAAAAGGCCTGAAAATATATTTTTAAAGTTTTTCAGGACATAAGGTTTGTGTCACAACTACTCAACTCTGCTTTTGTAGCTTGAAACCAGACATAGACTATATGCAAACAAACAATCATGGGTGCACCCCAACAAAACCCTATGTGCAAAAACAGGCTGCAGTCTGGATTTGGCCTGCTGGCTGTAGTTTTCCAACCCTTGTTTTAGATAAAATTTTTCAGGAGAAACAAATGTATTTTCTTATCCTTAGCCTAGTACAACACCTAGCATGTAACAGACACTCAAAAAAATGTTTGCTAAATGAGTAATTCAATAATTAATAAACAAAATTAATGAGCTGAGATATTTCAGGGAAGGAAAACATCAAGAAAGGAAAAACTAAGGCAGGGGCTGTGGGCATGAAGAGAATAAGACTGGTAAACCCCATGGTTATGGGAGGTCGGTGAAGAGTGCAGGAGCTCCAGACTTCTGGCTTAGGTGATTTGCAATTCATCAGTTTAATACAGAAACTAAGGCATCTTGGACTACGGTCAATATAGCAAATATTTGATAAACACTTGAATTTTTTTCCCCTTGGATTATTTAGCAAACACACTTTTAAGTCTCCCTGTTTTCCTTTGCTAAGTACTCAAGGAATAGAAACACATTTTATGATCACTTGATTCAACCTCATTTAAAATATAAAATTTCTGGGGGCTGGCTGCTGGCTCACCTGGGAGAGCATGCTGCTGATAACACCAAGGTCAAGGGTTCGGAGCCCCAAACTGGCCAGCTGCCGAAAGAATAAATAAATAAATAAGATATAAAATTTCTGCCAATGAAAACAACTCTATGTGGAGAGGCTTGACAAATAAAAAAAAGAAATTACCCTGTTAGGGATAGTACAGTACCTTTTCCCCTTCATTCTCTCAGTGTTCCCTGGAAAGCAACATCAGTAAGTCCTGGGCGTTTGTTAGGGGTGTAAATTCCTGTTTCCATGCACTTCACTGACTGGACCAGAAGCCCAGTAATCTGTGTTTTAACAAGACCTCAGATGATCTGATGCCCTGTGAAGCTTGAGAACTACTTTTCTAGGGCTAGTAGCGAGTGCCAGCGACAACCAGTTCAGAGTTCCCCCACCAGTCTTCCTTCTTCCAGAATCAGATATAATCACAGGCCCATTGGCTCAAGGAAGAAAGCAGAAAAGGACTGACTGTTCAACTGTTATTTTTGTTTTTAATTTCTAGAAGTATCTCCAGAGCATAACTGGTGCTGAGAAGTATTTTATTGGCTTAACATATCAACACGCAGAGAAAAGTTGGCGTTGGATCGACAACTCTGTCTTCATAGGCAAGTACGTGAACATCCCACATTTTTCTGAGGATCTTGGTTTGTCTCAAGAGACCACATCTGAAATTCAGCAGGTTCATCCTGGGATAGCTCAAAGGCTGAGACTCATCTCTTCGTTCTACTCCACCTTTCTTCTAACCCATCCATTCCTAGAGACACTTATTTTATAAACTTTTTATTATGGAAAATTTTAAACGTTCAAAAATAGAGAGAAGAGTATTCATATAATAAATTATTTGGTTCAAATCAATATCCAAGCAAATCCACATATATCACATTCATTTGATATGTGAAGTCACAAATTGCTTTTAATCCACATACCACATTTTATTACTAAATGCCTACAAGTTTCCCCACTTATAGCTTTTTTATCTAAAGAAAGGTTATTATAAGCAATTTGTCTATGCCTTAAAACTATAAACATTTAACGCCCAAGAGCTATCTCCTATGAAAAATTCTATGGAGATAAGTGTTAGTGGAGAATGTAATATTCCCGGTGTTCGTAGGAAAATGTTGTCAGAGTGCGAGTTAGTTCCACCGCGTGTAACTGGGCTTCCCCAAAGAGGGGAGGAAATTAACATTCATTCAGTGTCTACTAAATGCCAGGCACTGCACTAAGCACTTCACACATGCCATTTTCTGCAGTATTTGCCAAGATGCTGCAGAAAAAGCTTTTATTACTCCCCATTCAACAGACAGTTGAATTGAGGACAAGAAAGGCTCGGAAACATAATGAGTGTCACACAACTAGGAAGTGATGGAGTCACTATTTGGTCTCACGTCCCCTTCAGTCCAAAACTCATGACCTTTCTGTGAAACCAGGCTCTCCGCATTCTGAACGGGACTGAATAGCAGAAAAAGAGGTAGGAGAAGACTAACGAATACTTCCACCAAGTTTTTCCTAAAGCAAACTGGGGTCTAGGAAAGAATGGGAACTCTTTCCTTCTTCTTTAGGTCCTGCTTCTGTGAGCAGACATATATACTAAAACTTTATATCTGGAAGAAAAAGGGACAGCCCGTGAGATGGTTCTGACCAAATGCAAGAGTGAGTGGGTCCAAGACTCTGTGAATCCATAAAAGCTCACGGGAGAGTTGACAGGAAAAGCTCGGTTTAGGGCTGAGCTTGGGGAAGGTGGATTTAGAAGAGGGGTCTGAGCTGGGAAGGGGGCCTGCTTTAGCGGGGTGTGTGGGCATCTGGTCAGCCTGTTGTCCCCCACGGACAGCTCCTCTGAAACTCTCACTGTGGTACTAGGAGAAGACAAGGCTGAAAGCATGGACCTAACTACGCTTTCTTTTCTCATCTAGCGTTACCAATCACAATCAGAATTTTGACTGTGTGACCATAGGACTCACAATGACATTCGATGCTGCATTGTGCGACGTCACCTACCGCAGGATCTGCGAGAAGGCAGCCAAGTGATCACGGTTCTCTGGACGAGAACAAATATACTTATGGAGACAGAAAAAGAGAATACTTACAATTGGGACTGGTTCTGGAAATACAGAACGTCAAGTTACTGTGTCAGACTTCCACAGGTTACCGGCAGAGCTACTTAATGAATCATCAGGGCTGACGCACTGCCCCCTCCACACATATACTTACACACACACGACTGGGGCACACTCCCCATTCCGAGCCACATTTCCTGTGGGTCACACCAGAGACTTTTCAGATCCACACACGTTGTCCCATCAATGATTCTTGTATCTCTCTGTCCACCAGTATAAGTCTTTGCCCGTTTGGGGAAATGAGCTTTCAGATTCTGCTCTGGAGGACTGGATGCTGGCCATCTCCAGGAGACTGGGTCAACTTCATGGACTGTCAGTTGGTATACAGATGAGTTGTTTCTATTGAACTGAGTATTCCTGGCCAATCGACAGAGTTTACCCTATCGACAGAGTATGTTTCATCCTCAGAGCCCATGATTGTACCACCAGAAAGAAACTGCAGACTGAGAAGGTGTGAACATTATTTAGAGAGTAGCATGGGCTGAAGGATACGCTCAGCTTCTGTGGCCTCCCCTCTGTGTCCAACAGACCCCCATTCATATGTCCACCACAACCGCCCTTCCCCTTCCCCAAAGTTGGAAAGCAGAGGCCCTTCAGTCTCTGAGCTGAGGCCAGACCCTGGGGAGGGCTCCTAGAGCTTTTCTTGGAGCAGAAAGAATGTTGTTTATGGGAATGGAAGGGGGTCTGGGCAAAGAAGGAATCTTCTCAGAGACTCCTTATAAAAAACAGACAGCCAAGGGGATGAATCAAACCAGATCTCTGTTCTTT